CACAGCTGTCAAATGTTACTTTGGATATTTCTGTAAGAGTGTTTTTGGATGAGATTAACACTTAAATTAGTGCGCTTTGAGTAAAGCAGATAACCCTTCATAATAAGAGTGGGTCTCACCCAATCAGGTGAAGGACTGAATAGACTAAAAGATTAACCTCCCTGGAGCACGAGGGAATTCTGCCAGCAAATGGCCTTCTGACCTGAGACACAACATTTCTTTCCTAGGTCTTTAGCCTGACAGCTTTCATACTGGAACTACAGGTTTTAGACTAGCCAGGCTCCAGTCATGTAAACCAATTCCTTAAATAAATAAATACACATACACACATATGCATGCACACAACTTGTTCTGTTTTCTCTAGAGAACCCTGGCAGATACTGTTTAGTTAAGACTTGAGAAACTTAACTGTTAGAGGCCTAATACTTATTACAAACTGGAATTTAATATTCAAGCAGAGAGTGGTGGCTGACAACACAACCCCTGGAAATGGAAAGTGTGTGTAGGAAGCCAGCTCTGCCACTTACTAGCTCTGTGATCATGGGCCACTTCCTCAGTGTGCCTTTGCCTTAGTCACCTCATCTGTGATAGGTATTAATACTACCTATCTCATTGTGTTCTTATAAGGATTAAATGATATTAATATTTATAAGATTCAAAGAACAGTGTTTGGCATATATTATATGATATGTGTTTATTAAAGTAGAGTTGGAGTTAAAAACTCTATTGCTTTCTCTTCATACCACCCCCACTGGCCAAGGTGAATGGTCAAGAGCAATGGGGAGTATAACAGCTTGAGCCCATAAGAGCTTAGCAGAGACAAGCCATGTGAACTACAGCAGTCAGGGTAAGATGGTCCTGTAGACACAGCCTATGACTGTGTCTTGGATGTGTGAACTATCTACCCCAAAAGCTCTGTGTTACTTCTTCCCTTTGTGGTCCTTGCTACCCCTCCTACCCCTGTACAGGCTTCACACCCAGGAGGGGACCAAGGAAAAGACACTCAGCACAGGTCAGATGGAGTGGGGTATTTTAGTCTAATTATATTTTATTGATTATGCCATTACAGTTGTCCCAATTTTTTTCTCCTTTATCCCCCTCCTCCCTGCACCACCCACTTCGCCCTCCAGCATTCCCCCCCACACAGTTCATGTCCACAGATCATACATGTAAGTTCTTTGGCTTCTCCATTTCCTATACTATTCTTAACCTCCCCGTCTATTTTGTGACTTCTGCTTCTTATTCCCTGTATCTTCCCCATTCCCCCTCCCCCTATTCCTCCCCACTGATAACACAAAAGGGATTCTTTATGAAAGAAATACATATATTTGTAGAGTAAGGACTCTACATATATTTATAAATGCATTTATTTAAGTAAGGACCACCAACAGCAGGAAGCCATTCCCATTCCTAAAACTGAAGTGACACAGGGAGGAAATGGTTTTCCCTGAGACCAGTTAGCAGAAGGAGTTGTAAAACCACTAGATAGAAGCTACAGTCACAGAGGAACACTGCCATTGCTACACCATGCAATATTATTTGTGGCTAAATAACCAATTATTCCAAAACCTAGTGGCTTCAAACAGCATCACTTCTTATCTCACACTTGCCATGGGCCAGGAGTCCAGGTGCAGCTTAGCTGAGTCCTGCCCTGGGAGTCTCCAACAAGGCTGCAGTGAGGTTGTCAACAAGGCTGTACAAGAGTCCATTCCAAGTTCAGTCACATGACTGCTGGCAGGATTCAGCTCCTCCAAGACTGCTGGACCGAGAGCCTCCATTTCTCCCTGGCTGCAGGCGTGAGCTGCCATCAGTTCCTGGCCACGTGGGCCACTCCACAGGGCAGCTCACACCACGGCAACTTGCTTCACTGAGGCAAGCGAGCTGAGAAGATCTGAAGTAGGGGGCGAAATAAGCAAAACAATAGTCATAGTCCTTTTTAACAAAATTTGTATAGAATTCATTGGAGTGACATTGTTTAATAAAATGATAGATTTCAAGTATACAACTCTATAACACATCATCTGTACATTGCATTGTGTGTTCAACACCCAAAGTCAAGTCTCCCTTCATCACCATTTATTTTCCCTTTACCTTCTTCTACCTGCCCCCTCTGGAAATGATAAACACCATACCGTTGTCTGTGTCTATCACTTTTTTGTTTTGTTTTTTTGTTCTTTGCTTAATCCCTCCATCCTTTTCACCCAGACCCCTAAACTCCCTTCCCTCTGACAGCTGTCAGTCTCTTTTCTATATCTATGAGTCTGTTTCTATTTTGTTTATTTATTTTGTTCATTAGATTCTACATATAAGCAAAAATCATGTGGTATTTGTCTTTCTCTGGCTGGCTTATTTAACTTAGCATAATACTCTCCAGGTCCTTCCAACAGTCATATTCTTTTATAACCTAATCTCAGAAGTGACAGACATCCCATCACTTTTGGGTTTTCCATTTACTAGAAGAAAATCATTGGGTCCAGCCCAAGCCCAGACAATGGGCAGTATTCAAGGGCATGAGGGCCAGGAAGTGGGGATCTTTGCAGCCATGTTAGAAGTCTATCCACCACACATGCCAAAGCAGGGAGAGAGCAGGAGGAACAAATACCTTGACCAATCTCTCTTCCCCTTTTCTGATCGCCCACCAGTGTGTGCCACTGGCCGAACTCAACTAGAAGCTAGAGGGAAAGGAAGCCCAGGTGACACAGCCCACAAAGGTCATTCTTCCAGACCAGGGAAGAGATGGGAGGAGAAGAGATCTGAGGCAGGATGGGGAGGAAAGTTGGATGAGCAGAGAATTACCAGCACATGAGAAAAGACACAGAAGGGCAAACTGACAGTCATAATGGAGGTCAGATACTGTAGAAGACAAGACATCACAGAGAACAGCCCTTCATCCAGATACAGGGGGTACATCTCTTTTCTTTAATATATGGGTCTAATTCTTTCCCAGGCCCTATAACTTGGGGCAACATTGGACCTGGTCCCTGTTATAAAGTTATGAAAATTTTCTATAGAGCAATTGTCCCTACCTCTACCTCACCCCCATTTATGTCAATACTTGCCTTTTTAATCCCCAAGACAAAGAGGAAGATTGGGAGAGGAAAGGGAATGAGCAGTGACATTTGGGAAGACCCTGCTCTTTGACAGCTCTAATGTTCATGCCAAAGTTCTAATTTCCTCTTAGAAAAAACTTGTGCAAATATCACAGTTTGCTTCTGTTGGCTTTTTTAATGTACTCAGGGAGACAGTTTGGGACTTAGAATCAGAGCTTCTTCTTGTGTACACACAGACACATATGTGCACACACACCCTAGGGCACTCATGCAGTTAAAACTTTCTTCTGTCCCTCAGCCCTGCCCATCACCTTTAAGGCTCCACGGCCTGGACCTTCAGGTGGGCAGTCAATTGCCAAGTACCATCTCTGTGTTAATTCAGTGCATTCCGCTTCTTCATCTACTGACCATCATTAGATGCCAGATAAATCTCAAATATCAAACCACACAGGGAGTAAGTAGGGGAGCAATTACTTTAACCCAGGTACCACACCCCATGTCTGGAGAAGATCAGCTGCCTGACTGTGGTGGTCCTCTTACATGGAGGTTAAGGATAGGTGAAATGGTCCAAAAGAACTCACTCCTCATGCCTGTTGTGTCCCACCCCTTTATCTCCTAAGGAGATTAATGCTCTGAACCCAGGTACCCAAAACACCCTCATGTCAAAAACTTCCCAATACCCCCCTTTCCCACACCAATCTTCAGGGCATCCATGAGACAGAGAAGCCTGCAGGACCACCTGGGGCTTGGTGAGAACAAACACCACCAAATGGAGAATCACAAATTGGTATCCAGTACCCTATTCTCCACCCATCAGCTCCTCAGCTGGCTCCTGTTACTTTGCAGCCTCATTTGATTTAGCATTTAGCAAAAGCCTGAACTGAACCTGCCCAGAAAGATTAACCCTCTGCAAAGTTCAAGAATCCCACACATCTCCACAGAAATGTGTTGTCTATGAAATGCTTTGCCATATGTCATCTAACCACTCTCCTGTGCATAGGAGCTGTAACTTCCAGGTGACAAATGAAAACCCTGAAGTTTAGCAGCACATGACAGTACACTGTCTTATGTATATGCCAAAGCCAGAATGCAAAATGCAGGCCTCTTGATTCCAAGCTCAGGGGAGGAAGAATTCCCAAGTCAAAGAGAATTATCTGCTTTTCTGGACCATGGGTTAGCTTCCCACTTGAAGGGAAAACTAAGTTCCAACTTCAGTGAACTACCATCTTCCTTTGACCAGTATGTCCTCTCAGAAATGTGGGATGCCATTGGTTGTCCTGAACATAGAGTTTGACAGGGGCACCTGTGGGGCTGGGGAAGTTCCTCCTATGGGGAAGATAACTTCAAGAGCAGAAGACAACTCCAGAGAAGGCACATGTGCTTTCAAAGCTATCTCCTCAAGAGAAAAAATGAGCTATAAATTCAGTTCCCAAAAGTCCTGAGCGCGGCCTCCCATGGAATGGGGCTCACTTGGCCTGGAGAAACCTCTAAGCCCTTACACTGAGCCCTGTGGAGATCTAGGCAAGAGGTGGCAATGTGATCTCCCAGCCCCCAACCTCCTCCTGGACAGATGTCAGGATTAAGAATCCTACCACTACCCTCAATAGACACATTTTAGAATCTCCCCAAACCACACCTGTCTGCCTCCAGTCCCTGAGATCCCAGAGATGTGAACCCAGAGGGCAGGTTGGTGGAGAAGGAAAGAGATGGCTGAAAGTTAGCAGGGAAAGGACCACCCAGCAAAGATGCCAGGTATCAGCTGGGCCCAGCTCACGTTTGTCACTTGGCAGTTGATAATCTGGGAAAGAAGGGGTGGAGGACACGGAAGTCACACCCCTCCAAACTTGTTTCCCATTGGTCCTTGGTATCCTTAAAAGGGCCCAGCAGTCCAGCACTGTATTCTGGACCCTGGGAGGATTCTGTGGTTATACTCACTCCTGACCCTCAAGCATGAGATTTATGGCTCTCCTTCTTCTAGCTGCTCTGGTTGGAGCCTTGGTCTGTGCCCGTGAGTATGGCCCTACCCCTGCAGCCACCAGATCCTCAAAGTCTAGGGCAGCCCTAGCTCCTGTCTTTGTTCCTCTTCCTCCCCCAGTGGTGTCCTTGCTTCTCCTGCTTCTGCAAGTGACTACTGTCCCCAGTTCTCCACACATGGCCTCTTTACCCAATGGCTCAGGGAATTAGGAACCCCCTGGCCCTGCCTGCTTTCTGGCCCATCTCCCCACTGTTCTCCTTTACCCACTATGACTGTCACACTGGTCTTCCTTCAGGGCCTCTGGGCCAATGCATATAGCAGGAGGGGTTGTCCCCTACACAAGGGTGCCAGGCAAGGGGTGGTAGGGGTGAAATCTAGCCCATGTTACACTTGCCAAGCATCATACTGTGCCCATGGCTGTCTCTCAGGATGTCTTTTCTAATTACACAAGAGCAACATTTGGGCCAGGACCACCCTGCCATTCCTCAACCTTTAGGACCTTCCTTCTCGCTCTTCCCTCTGGCTGAGGAAGAGCTTTTTCTCCCTGTCTCCTTCCACCAGCCAACTCTGAATGTCACTTGACCAATGCTTTCTCATCTGTGAAATCTCACTTCAGGTATGAATCTTCAAAAAAGTCTTCCTCAAAAAATTTATAAAGGATCAATTAAACCTCGTTTGCCCTTACTGTACCATCACACTGGAAACTAATTAATTGTGTAACATTAGCTCTGTCAGGGCAGAGTCTTGTCCACCTTTTTCATCATTAAATCCCCTTCACTTAGCAGAGAGCTTTGCATAAATGTTGTGCTGACAGATAAGAGGAATCAGGGCTGGAGTCCCGTCCCATAAACCATTCATGCATGGCCCTGTGGCCCCTGCACTGTCATCTTCCGCCACTGTAGGCCACAGCTGCCTCCCTGACACAGTGTTAGACACCTTCAAGAGCCAGAACCAGGTGGGGAGTAGGGCAGTTTCCAGAGGAATATTTCACTTCTCTGAGGACAGCTTGCTTCAAAACAAAAAACCATAGGAGGAGTTAAACATCAGAAAGAACGCCCCAATGAACATGAACCTACTGGTGTGGCAGAAGGACATGTTCAATGGACAAGGAAATGTGTCCCTGTGTCCACAAACGCTCCTGAGAGCTCAGGACTGGGAATGGGAGGGAGAGTGGCCCCAGTGTGGATCAGCTTGATTCTTCACTGTCTTCTCTCTTCTCGGTTGTAGAAGATACCACCACTGATTACATTCAAGGTACTTCAGCTGAGGATTCTCTGAGCCGTAAGTCCTTCTCTCCCTCTGACTGTGGCCCTGGGGAAGGTTGAACAGCTGGGATGTCAGTGGAGGATGGGGGAGAATTCAGGGGGAGGATATTGGGTCCTGCTCTGGGTGGTAATGGGAGGTGCATGGACTGGGGTGGGACAAGTATAAGGAAGAAGTATGAGAATCCAGACAGGCAAGCTTTTAGGGAGAATGGGAAAAAGGCTTATTGTGCATAAAAGGGAGAAAGAGATGAAGTTAAATAACAAGGGCAATATCACACGCAGTATTCATATCTTTACCAGCAAACACCTTCTGTGACTCCCAGCTCCTTTGCAAGGTTCCTGCTCTCTGACCTCGGACCCCATTTCCAACCTTCTTTTCCCTGCCTTTCCTTCATGTACCACCCACATCTGCTAAATTCAATGAACTTCATTGCATTTCCCCCACCTATCCCACACATGCCTTCCCCTGAGCTCTTGCTGACTCCCTGCTCCTTAAGGAAGCCCCTTTAGAACATCCTCCTTGCCAAAATCCTTTCCTCAAGACCCAGTTTCTCTTCACTGTGCTCTCTACCATGACCCATACTCCTGCCCCAATTCCTCTCCAGCCCTGCCCATGAAAAGTGCCCAGCCATGCCCATCTTCTGAGAGGCTCTGTCTTAATCCATTCAGACTGTTACAACAAATTACTATAGACTAGCTAAAGTAACAGAAATGTATTTATCGTAGTTCTGGAGGTTAAAAGTCTGAGGTCAGGGTGCCAGCATGACCAGGTTCTGGTGGGGACCCTCTTCTGGAATGCAAACTGCCAACTTTGCATTGCATCCTCACATGGTGAAAAGAAGGGGAGAGAGCTCTCCGTGGTCCCTTCTACAAGGGCCCTAATCTGATTCTTGAGGGTTTTACCTCATGGCCTAATTACCTCCTAAATCATCCCATTGGAGGTTTAAGATGTCAACATATAAGTTTGTGGGAGACACAAACACTCAGCCCATAATGGGCATGTAGTGTGTACAAATCCCATCTCCCATAAGAGGGAGGGTTTATGCCATTTCACTTCTGTATCCAGCCAAGTAAGTGTTAGGTATCTGAGGCCCTGACACACATTCCTAAGAGGGAAAAAATACCTGATTTTGCTAAAATCAACAAATGGGTACATTTGTAGCTGAACTTGAGATCATAGCTCCAGCGGAATCTACTTCATTCCAAGAGACAGCCACGGCAGCCCAGAAGACTTCAGGGACAGCTCAGACACCAACCAGGGTCACCTTACCAGGGCAAGGATTAGACTCCCTAAGTCTCTGTCTTTATACCAGACAAGCTGGAGAAGTCTTTGGCAGCAGGTCTACTTGATGCCTCTACCCACAAAGACAAGCCCAGAGGAAGCAGACATTCATTCATTCACCTGAACACAAGGCAAACACAGGGTGAACACTGCACCCCTATACAGAATCTCTGCAATAGTAGATTTTGCTGCCTGCACTATACACGTTTTCTTTCCTGGCCCACCCACTTTCCTATGCGAGAGAAGCTGGGCCTCTCAGCAAAACTGCTCCACTTTAGGAATTTATACGGGGATAATGTGGGGGGTAGTTCTATTTAAACAAGGTGCCTTTTCTAATGATGTGATTCTTCTGCCCCAAAATTAGAATCTATAATAGAGAAAAGTCTCTTGCTAACAGAAAAGGCCTTTGAGGAAGCAAAAAAGAGAGCCAGTGGAGGAATTCAAGACGGAAAACAGATAGTTAAAGGTAAATGCATCCCAAGGCAAAGCCTTGAAGAAACAGAAATATTCACTGCCCACTACCCACGCAGTGGGGGGAGGTGGGCAAGATCATGCCCCCACCAACCTACACTGGAGACCTGGAACTGACCCAGCCCCTCTCCATTGAAGCTTTCCTTATTTTGTGCCTTCAAATGGTACCAATTTCTCATCTACGTTCAAACTGCACAGTCCTCTGATACCGGGTGCCCCCGAGTTCCCACCCCCAGCCTTCCCAGTGCAGAGCTACTCATTTCTCTCTCTCTCACACATTCCCAGGTGGGCGAGGGGGCGCATCCTTCAGCCTCGGGTGAATCTAACCTCCCTCCCTCTGACTGTGTCAGGCCCCTGAGGGTGCAGTGAGGTTGGAAGGAAGATGGAGTTGAGGAGGATGGAAGGGGTGAATGGTGCCTGGTGACGTTGAAACCTCATTCCCATCTCTGCTTTCTTCCAGGTGGAACTGACTTTATACAAAGACTGAGGGAGATTTTTTTGGATCCAGGAAAAATTTGGTTTCTTGGTATCTGAAAAGACTGGCATCTGGGACCTTAATGCCTTAAACGTGTGTGTTGCCCTGAGCAATTAAACCAAAAGCATGCAACTATCGTTTGCCTGTGCTCTGTGGGGTGGGCCCTGAGGAGAGAGGGAGAAAAGCCTTGTCACAGCCTGCCTTCAGGACGGTCACAGGACACTGCCTCTAACAAGCCCTTTTAGTCACACTGAGCCACAGATACATGTGCTGGGCCTCATTTTGGTCCAAATGCCTCTCGGTTCTGGTCTGCCTCCTTATTCTTTGCACAGGGCTCCTAGTGACATTTGAGCATTTCCAAAAACTAAATCAACTTCCAAAGAGCCAGGATTTGTCATCCTGAAAATAGTCAAAGCCTGAACCATTGCTACAAAAGCCACTTTCTTGCACCATTATTAAAAATGCATCCCTTCTGCCTTCCATTCATAATTTCCACACTGGGCCAAAGTGAAGCCTAATTAGATAAGATCAGTAAAATAATGAGCCACTAATTAAATTCATTACAATTATTCATGTAAATAATGAGGCACTAACTGAATCCATTACAGTTATCCATGTGATCGTTCTGCATCCCTTCTTTCACTCCACCTCTGTCCAGGACTACGCTGAGCACACAGGTGAACAGGGAAGGAGCACTCATGACTATAAAGGAAAAGAACCATCACTCTCCCTGAGCCCAGCACGTGGCATCTCTGCTCTCTATCACCCCAGAGTCATTGATTCTAGACTGTCCTTTCTCCTATCCCATCTGAGTCCCTCCTCTTCTATCCTGGGGTGGAGAGGTATTTAGCCTAGACCCTGTTTTAAAGGAATGAGGAAATACATCTTCCTACTCTTCCCACCACTGCTACACATGGTGCGTTTTTGAGAATGCTGCCCGGAAAACAGAGAGACCTTCAGGAGCAGGCCCCCTCTGAGCAGTAATTATAATAAACACTGGGTGAACAGGGCACTTCATATTGTGTAGATTGCCACCATTTTATGGGTTGAATTGTGTCCTCCCAAACTAATCTGTTCATGTTCTAATCCTGGTACCATAGAATGTCACCTTATTTGGAAACTGATGTCCTTATGCAAAAGAGAGAAATTTCAACACAGAGGCACACAGAAAGAGGATGATGTAAAGACACCCAAAGGTAAATGGCCATGTGCCAATGGAGGCAGGGACTGGAGCGATGCCTCTATAAGACAAGGAATGCCAAGAATTGCTAGCAAACACCAGAAACTAGAAGAGTCAGGGAAGTGTTTTTCCCTACAGGTTTTAGAGGGAGCTTGGGCCTGTTGACACCTTGATTTTGAACTTCTAGCCTCCAGAACTGAGAGGCAATAAATTTATGTTGTTTTAAGTCATTCAGTTTATGACAATTGATTTACAGCAGCCCCAGAAAACTAATACACACCACTACTCACATCTTCATTAGCTCATTAGGCTCCTGGCTTCCTCTTACAACTGCGAGGTCATACTCTGTGACCACTGTCACCCATTTCCCTCTCCTCCCAGGCCCCAGAAACCACCAATCTACTGTTTCCATGAGTTGCGGTTTTCTTAGTTTCCACATATAAGTAAAATCATATAATATTTGTCTTTCTCTCTCTGACTTATTTCACTTAGCATAATGTCCTCAAGCTCTACCCACATTGATGCAAATGGCAGGATTTCCTTTTTTCTCATGGCTGAATAATATTCCATCATAACAATATGTATGTTATATAGTTTTTATTGCATAGATTTTTTTCCTTTCTTGGCTAAACTCATTCCCCACTATTTTATTGTTTTTAATGTTATTGTAAATGAGATTATCTTCTCAATTTATTTTTCTAATAGTTTGTTCTAAAGGAATTTTTTTTAAATGAGTAACCCTTCGCACATATTAAAGGTGGAATCTAGAATTTTTTTTGTTGAAGGTTTCAAAAATTGCAAAAGGCAATGCAGTGGATTGGATGTGAGGGCGATCTGGCTGCGATATCTGTCACCCCAATGCAGTGGATTAACATCTTCCGTATAATTGACGTGGTTCCCTCCCTCCCCCTTCAGATCTTTGCTCAAATGTCACTTTTTGAAACAGGCCTTTCCTGGCCAGCTATCTAAAATTACAAGCCTCCTACATATTCCCTACTTTATTTTTGTCCTTAGCATTTTTTTCCCAACTTTTTTGAGGTCTCTGTAATATACCAAAAAAATACACATATTTAATGTATACATTGTGGTGAGTTTGGACATATGCATGCACCCACGATACTACCATCACCACAATCAAGGTAATAAATGTATCCAAGACCTCCAAAGAACTTCCTGTCACCCCTTGCTCTAAGTGTGTGTGTGTCTGTGGAACACTTAGCGTCTTAGCATGAGATCTACCCTCTTAACAAGTTTTTACCTGCACATGCCGTATCATCACCTATAGCCACTATGTTGTACGACAGATCTCTAGAACTTATTTCATAGCATTTCTCACTACCTAATATCCTATATAATTTACTTATTTATCTGTTTTCTTCACTAGAATGTTAGCACCATGAGAGCAGGGATTTCTGTTTCCTTTCGCTGGTATATCTCCAGTTCCTAAAACAGTGCTGGAATCAATATTGAATGGATTCACCACTTCTACCCACCTCTCCATTCTCATCCTATGAAATCAATGCTTCCATTTTCTCTATTCTCAGAATGTATTTTTTGCACTTGTGCTACATTTCTACCAGATAGGTAACTTTTTAGAAGTAAGTCTTCCCTGGTTGGTGTGGCTCAGTGCATTGAGTACAGGCCTGTGAACCAAAGGGTCACTGGTTCGATTCCCAGTCAAGGCACATGCCTGGGTTGCAGGCCAGATCCCCAGTGGGGGGCACACGAGAGGCAACCACACACTGATGTTTCTCTCCCTCTCCTTCTCCCACCCTTCCCTTCTGTCTAAACATAAATAAATAAAATCTAAAAAAATAAGTCAGTCCATCTTGGTATCCTTATTACTCAATGGATAATAGATGCTTAACAAATGATCTGTGCATTGATATTGAATGACAGAGATTCATGTAGGCACTGTTCACTCAGGCCTGTGATTGCTCAGAAGACTTCTCCCATCCTCCCCACTGACATAACCCTCTCAGGCTCTGCTCATCTCTGCCTTCCAGCACCCAGCACATCCCAGGTTCTCCCCCTACAAAGGAGAGAAAACTTTAACGATCTCACATTCAGACCTCAGTGCTTTTGAAGCTTCAGTGATCATGACAAAATCTGATGAAGGGAAACATCTTTCCCAGGTACTGTGTCAGGGGAAACCCCAAGCCCAATGAAATCCCTTTCATCCTCACAGACAATAGCCACAGACCTAGACCGTCTAACGAGAAGAAGGCACACACAGCTCCCTTGTGTGGTAGAGGTCTGTCCACTCTAACATGCTACTTTTGTTGGGAGTGTGGGGAGCAGAGAGTGATCTCAGTGGAACAAAGCACTCAAGACACATGCAAATACATCTGTGTCCAGATAAAAGGCCAAACACAGCTTTCTACCTCCCATCCCACCCCAAATGTCATGAAATGACAAACAATAATTGTTCAATTAAAAAAGGATTATTTCTGTGTTTGCAATTGTTTTCCCAGTTTCTGAGGTTATCTAACTTTGCTGTTTAGATATGGATAATATTCTAAATCAGCAATTTTCAACCAGTGTGCTACAAAAATTTTTTAAACATTCAATACCTGACTATTTAGTAGGGTCATTGACCTCTTTTTCCCTTAGATTGTCAATTTTTTAAAAATAGACAACCTCCAACACAACAATAGCCATCTAGTGTGACTGAATCACAATTATACCTTTTTTCTGTCAGACAGCAAAAAATATGTTTTTTGTGTGCTGCTGAATTTTAGTAATTAATTTATGTGTGCCATTAGCTTACAGAGGTTGAAAATCACTGTTCTAAATAAATCAATACAAATTAATGGGGAAAAACACTCAATAACAAAATTTCAAATGTAAGGAGAGAGAGTAAACATACATCTACCTATGCCTTATCTCTGAAACCAGTTGAATCACTTTACCACCAAGAAAATAAATACAGATATCTAAATTCCATTTTGAATGAAAAAGTACTTAAAACTCCAAATAACACTTTCCATGAAGAACTTCAACGTCCAGTGAAACAAACCAAATGAGAGAGGATGCCGACAGTCTCCCATAATGGCAACAGATCCTGGGCAGAGAAGCAAAACGCAACCTCTCTAAAGTGCTCAATAGATTCAGAGGAATGAAATCAAAGACACCTTGTTTGTACCTAGACCCACCTTATGTATAATGACTGCTCCTGGAAAAAAGCATTGAACACAGAAAAGAAAAACATAGTTCCTTAAAAATAAAAGGAAATTTTCACCCAGGCCAGTGTGGCTCAGTTGGTTTGAGCAACATCCCAAAAATTTGCGGGTTCAATTCCCAGTCAGAACACATACCTAAATTGCAGGTTCTGGGCCAATTGATGTTTCTTTCCCTTTCTTTCTCTGTTCCTTCCCCTCCCTCTAAAATCAATAAGCATGTCCTTGGGTGAGAATTGAAAAAATACAAAGAGGAAAAGAAAAGTTTAATCTTGCTTGGGGAGGGGGGAATAGGCAGTTGTTTAATAGATGTAGAGTTTCAGTTTTGCGAGATGAAAAAGTTCTGGAGATTGGCTGTGCAACAACATGCATGTACTTAACACTAATGAACTGCATACTTAGACGTGGTTTAGATGTTATGTGTATTCATTGTTATGTGAATTCAATGTTATGTGTATTTTACCACAGTTAAAAACTAAAATTAATAATAATGTGAATCTGCATATTGAAAGGAAAAGCAGATTTAAAATGACCAATGCTGAGAACTGGCTGGAGAAATTGTTTTACCTTCAAAGATAAATAAAGATTGATTGGAAAAGAGGGGACGGAATTAAGTACAAACTTGCCGTTGTAAAATAAGTCACAGCGTGTGACTGACGCACAGTTTAGGGACTACAGTCAGTAATATCAGAAAACTACG